AGAATGATGGATTTTGGAATTGATTAAAAAACAAAAACATTTAATTGCTCCACATGTAACATTACTCTGCTTCAGAAATGTTTTGTATTTTGATATAAATAAACATTTGCAAAAAATGTCCTGCTGCGTGATAGTTTTGCTTTTCTTTAAGTGTGCCTGTGTGCTTATTTCATTTACAAATCAATTCCTAGGAAGCATTTCAAAGTGATTTCACAATGCCATAAAGACATACATAAAACGATTGCACATATGCAAGCAGTTAAAAGCATTGCCTATATAAAAAAAATATATACATAAAAGTAATTAAAATAATTGCATGCGTAAGAAGAATTTTAAATCCACTGCAGATAAAAATAGTCACTTAGAAGTGGGATAAAAATAGTCACTTAGAAGGTGTGCTGAAAGAGAAAACTCTTTAATAGGAATCATAGAATTATAGTCTAGGAAGGGACCCTAAGAGTTGGAATGGATCCCAAAGGTAATCTACTCTAACCCTCTTCAATGCATGAATCACAGCTAAATAATTCCTCACAAATGGCCACTCAAACTCTGTTTGAAAACCTCCAATGAAGGACAGTCCAGCACCTTCCGAGGTAGTACATTCCACACTCAAATAGCAATTGCTCTCAGAAAGCTCTTCCTAACGTTGAGTCAGAATCTCCTTACTTGTCCTTTGAATTCATTGCCTTGGGTCCTCCCTGCAGAAAACATTACTCCATCTTCCATGTGACAGTCCTTTAGATATTTGAAGGTGACTCTGAAATCACCACTCAGCCTTCCCTTATCCTGGCTGAACATACTCAACCTTGGTTGCCTTCCTCCCAGCTTGTGAACATCCTCCTTAAATGGTGGTACCCAGGACTGGACACAGAATAGAGTGGTACTATCACTTATTTTTATCAGGACACTATCCTCCTAATGATGGTGAAAAGATAGTCAAGATGCATCTGCCTGAAATATAATGGGAAAGAGTTGCAAGAGGTTGATGTCACCACACTCATGCCCCAATTTCAATATCGTATGGAATGCACCTCCTGAGTGGGTGGTGTCTGGAGGACAAGGTCTCATACAGAATGTAATATTCAGGGATGAGACTATATTTTAGGCATCCTGGTCCCAAGCTGTATGAAACTTTGTACATCAGTGCCAGCTTATGGACAGCAGTGTGAACTAGTGAGAATGTTGAATTTAAACCAAGGAGATGGTGTTTAAAATCCTACTCAGCAGATCACTACTACTCATTGCACACAACCACATGCGAGAGACCCCTGATGCTTTTCCTCTTTTAAAAAGGTAAGAGGTACTGCTGCAGCGAAGAAGCATTTCCAGCAGTGGAAAATCAAGGTTGATGCTTAACTCCTTCCCTGCCCATCATTTATTCCCTCACACTTGTCCACCCCACCCCCCAAAAAAACCCTGATTCCCCTGCCCTCAAGGGTACAAATTATTTATTTATATTTGCAAACATGTGACTACAACCCCATGGGGCGAAATGACAGGCAGTACAAGGGTAGATGAGGCTTTCCTGCATCTGTGACTTCACTGTAAATAATGCCTTGTACAGCTCCACAGCTGTGCAGTTGAGTCCCCAAATCCCTGTGTCTTTGGCCCAGGTGGCTAGTCTGGGCTTTGGAAGGCTTTGGTGATTATAATGTGCAGAAAAGCGATTCTCTTATTTCAGGCAGCAGATGCACTTCCACTGGGGAGGTTTAATGTGAGAACACAGACTCCTATCCATCTACGCTGCCTAAAATGCATGCATATCTATAGGACACCAGTGCTTTAACCTCATGGATGGACCTCAGACTAGATCAGTCAATTTTGCATGTGCTTAAAAGTCCATTTCATCCTATTCCACATTAACTTTTTTAAGCAGGAAATTCATATTAAAATATGTAGTTTATTATGTCATTTGTCACAGTATATTTAAATATGATAATTATTATCCCATGCATTTCTAAGGAGATTCTGACTAAACATCAGGAAGAAACTTTCTGACAGTAAGAGCTGCTAGACAGTGGAACTGTCTCCCTCGTGAGGTTTGTTGGGAGGTTTTTAAGCAGAGGTTGGATGGCCATCTTTCACTGATGCTTTAGCTGTGATTCCTGAATTGCAGAGGGTTGGACTAAGATGACCCTTGGTCAGTGGCAGAGCTTCACACTCCAGCACTGGGGGGCGGGGGTGGGGTTGACATGTGTCCTGGGGGCGTGGCACACTGCCAGTGGGGGCGTGGCACCCAGCGTGGACAGGGATGCAGCCCCGATGGCACCCCACCGGGATCGCGCTGCCGGGGGCAGTGCACTCCCCCCACACTCCTCTTCCTCTGCCAGTGCCCTTGGTGTCACTTCCATCTCTACAAGTCTATAATTCTATGTTTCTAAGAGTTCTGCAGGGACACGGATGGCGCTGTGGGTTAAACCACAGAGCCTAGGACTTGCCGATCGGAAGGTCGGCGGTTCGAATCCCCATGACGGGATGAGCTCCCATTGCTCGGTCCCTGCTCCTGCCAACCTAGCAGCTCGGAAGCACGTCAAAGTGCAAGTAGATAAATAGGTACCGCTCCAGCAGGAAGGTAAACGGCGTTTCCGTGTGCTGCTCTGGTTCGCCAGAAGCGGCTTAGTCATGCTGGCCACATGACCCGGAAGCTATACGCTGGCTCCCTCGGCCAATAAAGCAAGATGTGTGCCGCAACCCCAGAGTCGGTCACGACTGGACCTAATGGTCAGTCTTCTGCTTCTGCAACCTGAAGTTTTGTTTGTTTGTTTTTTAAAAATGGAATGGAGAAAGTGGACAGAATTTGTTTTCCTCCCTCTCTCATAACACTAGAACTTGTGGACATCTGATGAAGATGAATGTTCAAGATTCAGGACAGATGAAAGAAAGTCCGCCTTCACTCAGTTCATAGTTATAGAATGGAACTTGCTCCCACAGGAGGTAATGTCAGCCGCTGACTTGGATGGCTTTAGAAGAGAAATTGACAAATTCATAGAGGTAAAAGGCTATCAATGGCTACTAGCTATGATGGCTCCATGGTCAGAGACAGCAATGCATCTGAATACCAGTTGCTGGAAAACTGGAGGGGAGAATAGTGCTCTTGCACTTGTTTCCTGCTTTCAGGTTTCCCATGGCAGGGCACCTGGTTGGCCACTGTGAGAGAACAGGATGCTGGACTAGATGGGCCATTGGCTTGATCCAGCTGGCTATTACTACTACTACTACTACTTTATTTTATTTTCTACCCCGCCCATCTGGCTGGGTTTCCCTAGCCACTCTGGGCGGTTTTCAACAGAACATTGAAAACAGAATAAAACTTCAAACATTAAAAACTTCCCTAAACAGAACTGCCTTCAGATGTACAGTATTCTAAAAGTCGGATAGTTCCTTGACATCTGATGCTATGACACCACTACCAAGAAGGCCTTCTGCCTGGTTCCATGTAACCTCACTTCTCGCAATGAGGGAACCGCCAGAAGGCCCTCAACACTGGACATCAGTGTCTGGGCTGAACGATGGGGATGGAGATGCTCCTTCAGGTATACTGGGCCGAGGCCGTTTAAGGCTTTAAAGGTCAGCAACAACACTTTTCTTACATTCTGCTCTGAAATAGCACCTTGGGAGGAGTAACCATTTGGTGCCTTTCTTTAGTTTTAATCAAAGTGCAGGATATTAGGGAGTCTAGCTCCTAAGCACCTGAAATCAGTGTGCTCACATTTTCTAAAAAATAAATCCCTTCCTATAACCTTTTAAAGACATCTTTCTGTCTGGATTTGCTTAAAAGTAAAAAGATTTCACTTAAAAAGTACAACAATGACCAGTTGTAGGCAGACTTCCCACCTTCCTGCACTTCCAGGAAAAACCAGCCTGGGACATAAGGTTTTTGAAGAATGAGCACCCAGGGAGGCTGCAGAATGCTGGAAAGATGGTTTGAAGAATGACAGTGAGGACACTTACAAACACCCCTGGGCAACCTCAAAAGTAATGTCATGAGAAATCCTACATCCACTCAAAGAGAGTGAATGAAGCTAAACATTGGAAGATTCAGGGCAGACAGACAAAAAGAAAGTACTTCTTCACACAGCATGTAGTTAAGCTATGGAATTCGCTCCCAGGACTTTGGTGGCAACTCTGCTCCAGAGACATCTCTGGGTAAGTACAGACATGTGTGTTTGTTGTACCCAGAATCCTAAATCCTAAATGGACACCAGTGTGTCTTTAGAGATTTGACCAGGCACTTTATGACTTACCCTACCACCACCACCTGACACCTACACCCACACACCTTGGAACAGACACAATCGGTCCTGAACCAATCCAATAACCTTGGTTCTGAATCAGCACTCCATGGATTCTCCAGAGATATAGCTCAGCCAGCCTTCCTCTTTGATTTGATGGAGGGAGGGGCAACTCTAGGTCAACTTCCTTCTGTCTGCATGGGGTTGTTTCCCAGAGGCGTTAAAGGGGAAGGACTGAGGCTGCAGGGCACAAAAGTTAATTTCCACACCATGCATTCAAAGTTAACTTTGCGCTTTCAATTGTATCAACACACTTCTTACACTCTGGCAGGATATGACAGGCCGTACATTGTTTTGAAAGTAACATGTATTTGTTGCTTTTCTTGAAGCAAACCCCAAACCAAAGCAATACTGCGCCATCGTCCTCACACCCCATTTAATACTGCTGCTGCTGCTGCTGCTGCTGCTGCTACTGCTACTACTACTACATTATTTATATGCTACCCATCTGACTGGGTTGCCCCTGCCACTCTGGGCAGCTCCCAACCCAAAAATAGTAAAAACACATAACTGAGGTCCATCATTCCAGAAATCAAAGTCCATTTTTACTAAACTTGCGAGCATAGATAATTCCCAAATGCATTTTATGTTAATTTATTTTGGTCAATAACCAGCTGAAAAGGAGGGACACAATATAGTACATTAAGTACAATATTAAATATAGAATTTAAAAACTATGTAGAATATAAAAAAGTGAGAAATTTAAAATCACTATATTGAAATGAGGCAGAGCAACTTAAGGTGTTAATAATTTTAAAATGAGGACCAGATCCTCCGCCAACAAGCAATTGCTGCCGCACAAAAAACAGTTACCCAGTATTTTATGCTGTTGGTGCACAACCAGTTTTTGAGAACTTTAGCTAAGTGCCAAATGAAGGTCATCCCGGTATCCTGTCTTTCGCACCTTGCTGGCCCTGCTGTACTCAGTAAGATTCTCATTCAAGGCTAGTTGTTGGACATTCACAAGCCAGCCTTTCGTGGTAAACTCCACAGTCTTCCAGATTCAAAAGAATAAACAGCTATATTTATTCCACAATGAATCTGACCAATAAGTATCTGCCCTCCCCCCATCTCATTATGACATCATGGTTGCCCGGACAACTGTTTTTTTGCACTTAGTGACACAATAATGTCTCCCTGCCACAAACACACAACTGGAATTGCAGAGGCCACACGTTTTCTAGGGCAGATGAGAACGGTGGTTGAGGCAAGGGAGATCTGGCCCTCGCTAAGAGTGCCTCAGGATGATCATTACCACATGGGGAGCGTACATCTTGTTCCGCAGGGCTTCTAGAACACCTTTCCCAGCTGACGATGCTCCAGTAAGGACACAGGAGGGGCTGTGAGGTTGTGAAGGGGGGGTGATATCAGTGCTTTTCTTCTAGAAAAAGGGTCAAGTACTGCATACCCTTGAGTACCCCCATTTTAAAAAAAAGCACTGGTGATACTTACTATAAAGTGACCCTGTTGAATTTCTCACTACCACTCATTTTCCCTTTTCCCTTTAAGGCTGATAACATAGTTGAGCCAGAAATAGAGTACGTATTGGAGCATTGGCTGAAGAAGGTGAGTGTAATGAATAGGGCTACGGGCTGAAATTGGGGGGGGCAGGTAAGCCATAGCTCGCGGGTGGCGCTGTGGGTAAAAACCTCAGCACCTAGGACTTGTCGATCGCATGGTCGGTGGTTCGAATCCCCGCAGCGGGGTGCGCTCCCGTCGTTCGGTCCCAGCGCCTGCCAACCTAGCAGTTCGAAAGCACCCTTGGGTGCAAGTAGATAAATAGGGGCCGCTTACCAGTGGGAAGGTAAACAGCGTTCTGTGTGCTGCGCTGGCTCGCCAGATGCAGCTTGTCATGCTGGCCATGTGACCCGGAAGTGTCCTCGGACACCGCTGGCCCCCGGCCTCTTCAGTGAGATGGGCGCACAACCCTAGAGTCTGGCAAGACTGGCCCGTACGGGCAGGGGTACCTTTACCTTTACCTTAAGCCATAGCTCAGTGGCAGAGTATCTGCTTTGCATGCAGAAGCTCCCAAATTCAGTCCCCCCCATCTCCAGGTGTGTCTGGGAAAGTTTCCTTGCCCAAATCTCTGGGAAAGCTTTTAGCTTAGACAAACCTGTCCAGATATTTGGAATGTTCGTGTGTGTTTTAATCTAGTTTTAGTTTATTGATTACTTTGGGTGTTATTATTATTATTATTATTATTATTATTATTAAATGCTTTGAACTGTTGTTTTTACTAATAATATCATTGTTTCATTCTTTTTATAAGCGGCTTGTTTTTTAACCATCAAGCAGTGTATACATTTTACGAACCGAATAAAATTCAAGCTACCGCCTGTCAGTGTTGACAGTACTGAGACAGATGAAACAAGGGGCTGAGTTAATATTGGGCAGCTTTCTATGCTCTGTCCATGCAGACTGCTTGGAAGGAATTCGGATCCAGCACACAACATTAGCATGGAGACCGGGGACCTATGTAAGCACTCATCATGGGGCTTAACTAGCCATATGAGCATGAGAATGCTAGCGCCACCCTCCTCAAACTCTGCATGTTCAAGGATGGTTGTCTGCACCAGGTTAGCCTTCTGCACTTAGGGAAGCTGTCGCATGTTTTCGAAACTACGTTTAACTAAGGCTCTAAAATGCAGAGGAGCCTAAGGGGTACAGGATGGTTTTTCCATTGTGGATAGCTAGGATAGGGGTAAGCATAACTGAGCCACATGTGGATGTTTTCACTTCCACATGTATCTAGAACTGCTGTCACACACATCATTCCCAAGTCTTTCCCATCCTGGTTTACATCAATCCATTGTTGTTTTAATCTGCACACACATATTTATTTTTAAGCATATTATCTCAAACCTATGCATTTCTAATTTCCCTCTCAATATCTGCATTTCTAAATATATTTTATTGTGCAATGTGAAGGGAGGGAGAGAAGAAATGTTGATGTTCTGCCTTGAGTGAGTCTGGGCCTTTTTGGAGCCATGAGTTGCAAAATGCATTTTTTAGTTGGTTGGCCCTGCTATGAGTGAGGGTTTGATCCTGCATAAAGTTAGCTATGCTGAGGTCCTGTTCAAAGTCCCCTCTCTTCATGCTTTGCCTCCCATGATATCTAAATTGCAATCTCATTTCGGGGCAGAAGCCTGTTTCTTTTCATCTCTCTCTTCTTATGAAACTCTATGAAGTCAAGTGTCATTCACATTTATGACTTGGCATAAATCAGTAGTTGTACCTTGGAAGTCCAACGGAATCAGTTCCGGAAGTCCGTTTGGCTTCCAAAATGTTTGAAAACCAAATCATGGCTTCTAATTGGCTGCAGGAAGCTCCTGAAGCCAATCAGAAACCGCGGAAACCCGGTTGGACATTCGGCTTCCAAAAATAGTTCGCAAACCGGAACAGTCACTTCCGGGTTTGCGACGTTTGGGAGCCAAAACATTTGGGAACTAAACTGTTCAAAAACCAAGGTACAACTGTAATGACATTAATGGTGACCAACCAGTTTTGTATGATAAATAACTTCACTTTGGGGGAGAATATGGTGGTAGCATGTGTGTTTGTGTTGCCTCTTAGATCGAAGAAGATGCTGTCAAGATCTTTAGGCAGAAGTCAGAAAACAGGTCGGACTGCCAGGTGGAAGGGATCAGAACTTTTCCTTCAATTGACCTAGATTTGGCAGCAGCAAGATCAAAACCAGAAACCTGGGAGACCTTTGAAGACAGGAGGCCACCAAGGGTGAGTGAGAGCTGCAGCAGTTTATGTGCAGATGAGAATGGGATAGAGAACAGGAAGTAGAGAAGCCAAAATAGGCTGTGGATGCACCATCTATTGAAAGTGCACTCCCCCAAACATCTGGAAAACTGTATTGGGTCTTGGGAATTGTGGTTCTGTGAGTGGTAAACTACAGTTTCCAGCATTCTTTTTGTGTGCATGGTGATGAATATTCTTCCAATGTGCTTTAAATTTATGGTGTGTATGCAGCTATAGCCTGCAAAAGCAAGTATTCTATGGAGAAATCAGTGTATTTCTGTCTGTGTCAGTTTCAATAAGTCCTTTCTTCCCCTACTTTCTGCATAGCTTTTAAAAAAGAGAGCTATACAATGAATTTGCATTTAAATTGCACATAGTTTTATATGCACTTTTCCTTGAAATATGCAACTTGTAAGCTTTTTGTACTCATTTTCAACTCATTCCCCCCTTTAAAATAATTTTTTTTGGATCTTTGATCCTGTAAAGAACACCTTTTCAAATGTATTTTGACTGAACCAAACCTGCATTGCAAAATTCAGAGAAGTGAGTATGCAATTCCATGTGGAAGACTGGAATTTTCATGGCCCTCTAGCAACTAGTGTGGCTCATTTACCAGAAGTTATGTATTTTGCATTACCTCTGGAAGTGTATACTTGACTATGTCTCCAAACTATGCCTCCTAGAGCAATATATACATCAGGAGGCTTAGTTTGGCCAGAATCGAGTATACACCAAGATTTTTCTGGTGCACATAAGCAGACTTTTCATATCACTGTTGCAGGACTGTTCCAGCACAATACTTTCATCCAGTTCCAGCCTGGACCTGACAGATGACAGGACAAGGATCCAGTTTGTCCGATGGAGGTGAGCCTTCACATGGGTCAATGGTGTCCATTGAAGTGATGAGCAATGGCACTCTGAATGATCTGAGTGCACACTCTTGAACAGGGGTGGGACATTGATCTTTCCTCGAAATATGCAACCACAAAATAGTTTTGTAGTGTGGGAAACATTTGGTCACCCAGATGTTGCTGAACTACAACTCTCATCACCCCAGGAAGGCCAGGGATAGTGGGAGTTGTAGTTCAGCAACATCTGGATGGTGAAAGGAGGACCTGCAACCCTTTAGATGTTAGTGTACTCCAACACTCAGCTGCCTCAGTCAGCAGTATGGCCAGAGACATTGGGAGTGGTAACCTAATAACATCTGCAGGCCTGAAGGCTCCCCACTTTTGATCTAGAAAGTGATCCTGAATCCTTTGCACTATGCTGGAATCCCACGGAAGATATGCAGATGATTCCACAGCAGGCAACTCGATGTGGAGAGGGGATCCAGAGGGGAGGAAACAGAAAACCATGGAGCTAGACCTCTTCAGATGTGCACCCAAAAGATGAGCAGAGCTGAGTTCAAGCATTATGTGTAATTTAACGCGGCCGTCTGAGAGTAGAGCATGGCTACTTGTGACAACTCAACTGTATGCAAGACTCACTTTGAGAGATAAGTTGGATTTTTAGCACTAGACCTCCTTGAAAACCTGGCAGGTTTGGTAAATTTAGCCCAGAGAAGAAGCAGTTAAAAGGGGAGAGGATTGCCATCTTCAAATATTTGAACAGCTGTCACATAGATGATGAATCAGATTCCTTTTCAGATACTCCCAAAGACCAGGACGTAAACTGATGGGTCCAATTGACAAGAAAATTGATTTAAACTAAATATTATGAGAAATTTCCTGACTGTGGAACAAATATTGCCTTGGATGGTGGTTGACTCTCCTTTGGAATGGGATTTTAAGAAGAGGCTAGATGACTACCTAATGATTTCCTCATTATCTTGATTCTATTCTGCTTTAATTGTTTTTAATGTTGCTGTTTTAAAATTATTACAACGTATCTTGGAACCTCATGAAGAAATTTAAGACTACTCTTGTTGTTGGGTTGTTGTTGTTGTTGCTGTGGTTTCCTGGGCAGGGGTTGAACTAGATGACATATTGATGTTCTTTCCAACTCTATGATTCTATTTTTCAGTCACACCCGGGTGTATCATGTCACGAGCGATATGAGAAAGGATGCCATGCAAGAGAGGCTGGATAAAGTGAGCAATAGGTGAGACCCAGCTGGAAGGGCAAATAGCTTTTAGCAGCATTTCTGTTGCTTACACATATGGGGAAGGGCCATAGCTCAGTGGTAGAGCATCTGCTCTGCATGCAGAACTCCCCAGGTTCAATCCCCAGCATCTCCAAATAAGATTGGGAATGTCCTCTACCTGAAATCCTGGAGAGCTGCTACTATCAGTGAGTGTAGAAAATGTTGAGCTACATAGACCAATGCCCTGACCCACTTTAAAGCAACTTTTTACACTCCTGAGATAACAATTCTATCCCTTCAAGTTCAATACAATGCTCCCCTTCTGCCCTTAACACCAGCTTCCAAAAATAATTCTTACCTAGTTCTGCCCCATTAGTATGAAAATAAATTCACTGCATCCTAGATGTGATCCAATGTGGAATTCTTTTAACGGTGCTCATATCAGTGAGTCTCTAACCCTAGGAGTGGGAAAATAGACCATAACATCTCTACACACAGTTTCTATAGTCGGAGTTGATCTGCATATGGATACAGTGGTGCCCCGCAAGATGAATGCCTCGCAAGACGGAAAACCCGCTAGACGAAAGGGTTTTCCATTTGCGATGCGCTTTGCAAGACGAATTTCCCTATGGGCTTGCTTCGCAAGACGAAGATGTCTTGCGAGTCTCGCCATTTCCCCCCCGCTCCCCCCCCTTTTTCTAAGTCACTAAGCCGTTAATAGCCTTTTAGCAGCTTAGCCGCTAAGCCTTTAATAGCCGCTAAGCCTCTAAACTGCTAATAGCGCTAATCCGCTTAGCGCTAATGGGCTTGCTTTGCAAGACGAAAAAACCGCTAGACAAAGAGAATCGCGGAACGGATTCTTTTCGTCTTGCGAGGCACCACTGTATTGCAATTTGAATCACATCCAAAGAGACTGGCAAAGGGTAACCCATTTAGGCCAACTAGTTTTCCTTAACTTCTGTTTTTACAGTGGTACCTCGGGTTAAGTACTTAATTCATTCCGGAGGTCCATTCTTAACCTGAAACTGTTCTTAACCTGAAGCATCACTTTAGCTAATGAGGCCTCCTGCTGCCACTGCACAGCCGGAGCCCAATTTCTGTTCTTATCCTGAAGCAAAGTTCTTAACCTGAAGCACTATTTCTGGGTTAGCGGAGTGTGTAACCTGAAGCGTATGTAACCCGAGGTACCACTGTATATTGTTTCATAGGGAACTTCCTTACATTGAGTCAGACAATTGGTACACACACACACACACACACACACACACACACCATATTTTTCGCTCTATAAGACGCACCAGACCATAAGACGCACCTAGTTTTTGGAGGAGGAAAACAAGAAAAAAATATATTCTGAATCCCAGAAGCCAGGACAGCAAGCAGGATTGCAGCGCAGCCTCTCCCCAGCAGTGGGATGAAGGCTCCCCCAAGAGCCGTGCTCCCTTTAAAGAGCGTGTGGAGTGTGTGTGGAGCAGCCCTTCTCCCTCCTCGGGGAAAAGCCCCCAAGAGCTGCACACACGCTCCACGTGGCTCTTTAAAGGGAGTGCTGAGCAGAGCCTCCTGCCTGCATTCGCTCCATAAGACGCACTTACTTTTTAGGAGGGGAAAAGTGCTTCTTATAGAGCGAAAAATACGGTACACACACACACACAAACTAGAAGTGTTAAGATAATTTCTCCATAGTGGTTGCTGTGATTGAGACAGAAGAGAGTTATTGTCAAACCCATCTTTCTTTGCTATTCCTCATATGTGCAAAAGAAAGCACTTCTGGAATGCTTAACTCACTGTTGGAGGGTGATAAGGGGACAATTGGTCCATCTAGTTCATTCTTGTCTACACTGGGATTTCTAGCAGAGGTCCTTCCTAGCCCTGTTTGGAGATAAGAACAGAAGAAGAGCCTGCTGGATCAGACCAATGGCTCATCTAGTCCAGCATCCTGTTCTCACAGTGGCCAACCAGATGCCCCAATGGGAAACCAGCAAGCGAGATTTGAGCACAAGAGCCACTCTCCCCTCCTACCATTTTACAGCAACTGGCATGAAGAAATATTGCTGTCGTCTTCATTGTCTCCAGGACATATGGATGCCAGTCAATGCCAGGCCTAATTATGCCTATGGGGTGAAGGTTTCCCAGTCTGGGATATGTTTTGAAGTGGGGGTTTGGTGACAAAGTGTGTGTGAGCTCAAGAGGCCAACCATGCTTGACCTTGCGTGTACTGTGTGTGGGTCTCAATCCAGGGAAGATTCAGACATGCTCCCCAAGTCCAGAATTGCCCTTGATTTTACCCTGTGGACTTATAATAGGAGGCAAGGTGGTTGGGCTGCCCCCTCCTCCTTTTTCTGCTGGGCTTGCAGCATCTTAAGTGGCTTGCTGGCCTTCCAAAGAACCTTGATGCCTTCCTCTCTAACCCCTTTCCCAGAGCTGCTCTATTGGGTAGCATGTCTGGAAACCTCAGTTTTATTGATGGACTTGCCACCTCACATTGCAGTGGCAGGCTGACGTGCTGGTGTGTTTGGAGCAACTAAGTGGCCATCTCACAAGGGTGGTTGGGGGGGGGTCTTGTCCAGGGTTCCTGGATGTGCACCTTCAGCAGATTTTTGTGCCCTGAATCACTACCAGCTCTTGTCCAGAATCTGCATGAGAGCAAGTTTGGTCTGACCTCATTTCTTTACCTCCCAGTGTCTCCAGGGTCATGTTCCAAGCTGTGACTGACCTGGACAGCGGCCCATCAGACACCAATCTCCACTTCTCAATGCCAGCGTTTTAAGACATGGACAGGTGAGGTGCTCATCCACAGCCCTCTGGCTTTCCCTCCATGGGATTTTAGCATTGCAAGGGACCCCGAGGCCATTTAACCCCACTCATTGCAGGAACCTGCAGCCACAGCGCTGAGATGTGGTTGCCTATTTCCACAGAAAGACAGCTGGCCACCTCTGTTCCACTGCTAAACAGCCCTTACCATTAGGACTCTTCTGTTAATGTTTAGCTCTATGTACCAGCCATGATGGCTATGATCTGCCTCCACAATTGGAAATAGTAAGGATTCTGAATACTTGTGGCTGGAAACCACAGGTGAGCACAGTTATGCTCATGTGCTACTTGCAGGTTTCCCACAGGCTGGCCACTGTAAGAGCAGGATGCTGGGCTGGATGGGCCATTGACCTAGTGGGTTGGGTCTGTGAGCTCTGTTCATGCCACCTCTAGTGCCTCCATGACCCTGAAGGATGGAGGTGTTGACAGCACTGGCTCAGCATCCAATTTAGTCTCTGTTGCCTCCCCCTGCAAGAGGATACTCCTCACCGCCCGGAGGCAGTGCTGGGGTAGGGGAATTCAACTTCAGGCTGTCTCTGATTAGAGGTGCCTGATGCCACAGGGGTACTTTTCTGCCAACCTGAATTATCCCTTCCCTGGACCCAGCTTTCCATTTCCTGGATTTCTGTGGGCTCAGACACATCTTGGGATCTCACAGTCAATGGAATAGCGTGGGGGGTGCCAGGGGGGCTGTTGCCCTGGGTGCACAGTCTGAAGGGGTGTATGTGAAAACCAGGCAGCCCCACCGAGATTCCTGCCCTGCCCTGCCTGGGGAGTGCAGAGGGTGAACAGCACCTTCCGTGCTGTGCCCCCACTTGGCATGCGAGCAGCCGTCCAGAGGCAGCATGGGTTGGGGAATGCAGTGTCAGGAGTTCAGCCTACACTCCAGTAGGACCCTGGCAGAGGCACATGCCCAACTGACATGTTCTCCCCCTCCTGGTCGATCGTTCGGGAGCTTCAGAAGCTTTCTTCAGCCCAAACATCACAGCGACCGATGCCAACCGACACCAGCACACTTAGGGATTCGCAGAGTTTGCGCAGTTGCGCAAACAGCAACTCAGCATTTTGGCTAATCTACTTTATTTACATATAAACACATGAAGCACTGCAACATGGCTCCTTCTCTCTCTAGCATCAGACAGCAAAGAGAAAAAGAACAAAGGACAATAGTCCCACTTCACGGAACACAGTAACACAAACATCCTGTCTCCGTCACTTCCCACTCTGTGGAGTCAAAACATATACCATCATGTGATAGACAACAATCCCATGACTGCAATCATGGAGCAGGAATTTTAACATGTGGGGGGTGCTCTTCACCCTCCGCACCCCGCCTGGTGCATGAGTGCCCATCGGGCATTGAGGGCTGGGCAAGCATGCTCCACCTGCCTGGCACACATGCACACACACCCATCCCAGGCACCGGTGAACAGTGCTACACCCCTGCCTACAGTCAATTTCCCCCATCCTGCCAGGACCCCCTTCAGGACTACTCAGATCCAATGCCCCAAGTTGCTTCCATTCCTCCTCAGGATCCTCCCATGCCCTCCATGACATCTCTATGGGACTCATGACCTCAATGTTGTTGGACTACAACTCCCATCATTCTTGACCACTGGTCATACCGGCTGGGGGTTGATGAGAGTTGTAGGTCAATGGCATCCTGAGGTTTACATGTTCCGCATCCCTGATCTCATGCACACAGCTTGGGCAGGAATCTGGGGGAAGGAAAATGCAGAAGCCTCTAGTTTTTTCCTGATCTCTGGATCAAACTCAAAAAATCACCAGTCGCTCAGTTAGCAATCTGAAACGTCTGTTGGGAAATAATGACCTGGTAGCAGCTCTAGCAGTGACATCTGATATTTTACCTATGCAGGAGCACCATTCTTCCACCCTGATCTTCTTCCTGTGCTTTCCTCCTCCCAGAGTCCCTGCTTCCTTGTGGCTCTTGAGGAGAAGAAGGTGCCCTTCCTGCTCTGCCCTCTGGGTCTTCTTCTTTGGCTGTGAAAGCCCTGCCTTCTTGAAATGGCCAGAGAAACAGCCTGAATCCTGTGGAAGGATTTACTTATTTTTTTTTTGCTTGGGCTATTATAAATGCCTGGCTTTGTGAACTGTGAATGACTAATAAAAAATTGCTAACCATTTAAACTGCTTTCTAAAAGACAGACTGGGCTTTCCTTTCATCTTTTTTTTGGAGGGTGCAAAGTTTTTAAAGGGTAAGTGTGCACGCAGTCCTGGTGCCCGGAGTTGGCACCACGGGGCATCGGCCAAGGCCCACACCCCTGCACAGGGCCTGCTGCTGATCCCTAAAGCCCCACCAGACCCTGTTCCCCCTCTTTGCTAAGGCTGCCTGAGCAGCAGTGTGAGCAGTGACAAGGAGGAGGAGAAGATGCAGACTCCACTTAAACTGCTGTCTCATTATGGGCTGCAGTGTGCAAAGGGCAACAGATGGGCAGTGGTGAAAGTGGCCAGGAAGTGGGAGGACATGGTGGTGCCTTAGCCTGTCTCTGCTGCTCCCTCTTCATGCCTCTTCTAATCCTGGGAAACCAGGGGGCAGGAGACCTTGTTGTAGCAGGAGTGGAGACACCCTGGCTTCTTCACCAGCCTGACTCATTTCTGCCTGTTGGCCTCTCTCCTCTTCAGCTTCTGCTTCTGGACTTCTGTCTGCCACATACTCTCCCTGCTCACTAAACCCTGTTGCCTCTTCAGCTTTTGACACCACCTCCTCCCAGTCTGCTCCCTCTTCTCCCTCTGTCTATTCATCGTTGTCCCACCACCAGTCCCTGGGCTCTGAGCCTTCATTCCTTGGGGTTCCCCAGCTGGTGGCTCTCACCATTCCTCTGTGTCCATGACACCCAAACCCCACAGGCTAACTTAGGTAGGTGGGACTATACCCCTGCCAATCACCTGACATAATAATGATGGCAGGGGAATGGCAGGTGATTGGTTGTTGGTTGTCCAACTCACCTCTCAAAGTTGTCCCATGGAGGTGGGGTTCCTGCTACCCTGCAGGATCGAGTTCAATCCTGCTTCCTGCAGGGGTAAGCTGCTAATCCAACTGTGTCTCTGCCTGCCCCACACCTGATGTTGAATACAATATTCAGGTTTGGGGTAGGTAGGTACAGTTTGGGGGAAATGGATTCATAGGCTGCATGTGGAGGTCTCGTGTGCCAGAGATTCCCCATCCCATTCCCCAGCCCCTTCAAAACAAATCTGGAGCCTACACTAAATGCTGCAGTGGATTGCCCAATTGGTGGACCAAGCATGTTCTTAGGGCACCAGCAAAATAATAATGGCTCAAAAAATAATAATGAGGATTTTGTTTTTGAAAAACAACCAACCAACCAACCAACCAAAAGTCCCACACCACAGTAGTCATCATGGGGAAATTCAAAGCTTTGTTAGACTTCCTTACACTCCACTACCCAATTCAAATTTTCCAGTTTGGCATTGTGTTTATTTTGAATTACATATATAAGGGGGCACCATAATATTTTCAGTGCTCGGGGCAACTATGAGTCTTAATTCAGCCCTGACTAACTGAGATCACTTGCACAGAAATCCCACCAGATGGCAGTACAGGCTTGCAAGAGCAAACTTCTGGAAAAGAAACAGGAGGGAAGTTAGAGATGTGAAGAGAAAATAAAGTGTCTTTAAAGTTGGCATGTGGGATTTATTTTAAGGGGCATTCTTTTTGTCCACATTCCCTGTCTTTCTCTTTCAAAACTTTCTATATCTTGGCCTGCAAGGCAGCTTCACACACACTGCGGTTTTCCTAAGCAGAGATAACTTCAGTGGCTTCATTTGCACGTAAAAAACCAAGGTTCTTAATTCAGACTATATTAATTTGCTCCCGTGAGCATACAGATAGTGACCAAAGAGCCAGAAGCACATGAATTTAAAATTTATTTAAAATAGTGTGAAAAATTGTGTGTGTGTATAAATATTCATTGAAAACACCAAGAGCATATTACAAAATGAACAAGTATTGATAACTCTTTTGTTGCTAAATGCTGGGAGTTCATTTACCAACTGATCAACATAAAACTTAGTCTGAGCTACTCTTTTGCCTTTTTTAAAAAAATACAGTTTGATCAACAGAAAATTAGCAGGTGAATTAGAGGAAACATTCTCGCCTGTTATTGCCTGTGGATCAAGCTGCCATTAAATGTTCAGGAGCATAGATACCTTGGTCACGAAAGTTGGCAACCGTGCGCTAGAGCAGTGCGGTTGGTGATGCTGCCGCTGCCGCACACGCTTTCTCTCTCTGGCCTCGGGGAAACGAAGTCATTAAGCGATTCAAAGGGATCTTTGTTCCCTGCATGATTAACTCTGGCGGAGGAGGAGGGCAGGTGTCAGGAAACCGAGACGGAAGCGGTGGCGGCGGCTCCACCTGTATTCCAGGCACCACCAATTTTCGCACTGAATTAATGGGAAAGCAAGTGGCAAAGACGTGGCCGCTCAGCCGTGACGGAGGCATTTGCGTAGCTAAATGGGCTGAAAAGAAGTGCTAATCAAGGCGTTTGTGGGTCACGGGTTCCGCAAGGCTGCTGGCGGCCTCCGTGGAATACTGACCAGAAGGCCTGATGGGAAGGCGATGCTTGCAGCACCGAGAAGCTGCCTCTGTGTGCAGAATGGGAGGCCAGAGATGGCGGGAGCCTGTTCAGAGTTGCACACTCCTGCCCCCGATCCTTGAAGGTGCCTCCTCGCCAGATGCCTCTGAGATGCCTTCAGCAGCAACTCTCTCCACCTGTGTTTCCAAGCAACTGGTACCCAGAGGCATATTGCCTATGATAAGAAAGGTAAAGTTAAAGGACCCCTGGACAGTTAAGTCCAGTCAAAGGTGACTATGGGGTTGCGGCGCTCATCTCGCTTTCGGGCCGAGGGAGCTGGTGTTTGTCCACAGACAGGTTTCTGGGTCATGTGGCCAGCATGACTAAACTGCTTCTGGTGCAACAGAACACAGTGAAGGAAGCCAGAGTGCATGGAAACACTGTTTACCTTCCTGCCACTGGTGTGCTTTTGAACTGCTAGGTTGGCAGGAGCTGGGACACAGCAACAGGAGCTCACCCCATCGCGGGGATTCGAACCGCCAACCTTCCGATCGGCCAGCCCAAATGGCTCAATGGTTTAGATCACAGCGCCACCCGCATCCCATTCACTACGACAGTGGAGGTGGAACATAGTCATTGTGGCTAGTAGCTATGAATTTGCCTAAGCCAACTAAGTTGGTGGCCATCACTCCTTGAGGAAGTGAATTCCATCTATTTAACTATGTGCTGTGTGAAGAAGGACTTTCTTCTGTTTTTCCTGAATCTTTCGACCTTCTTCCTGTTGGGATGTGAATAGATGTTAGAAGAGGACATATTCATTAGATATTATCTTTCCTTCCTTGTGCTTGTTTGTTTGTTTGTTTTGAATATTTTAATAGGTTTAATATAAGGACAACATATGATCAAATAGTAAAGGTAAAGGGACCCCTGACCATTAGGTCCAGTCGTGACCGACTCTGGGGTTGCACGCTCATCTCGCTCTATAGGCCGCATGTTTGTCCGCATACAGCTTCTGGGTCATGTGGCCAGCATGACTAAGCCGCTTCTGGCGAACCAGAGCAGCACACGTAAATGCCGTTTACCTTCCCGCTGGAGTGGTACCTATTTATCTACTTGCACTTTGACATGCTTTCGAACTGCTAGGTTGGCAGGAGCAGGGACCAAGCAACGGGAGCTCACCCTGTCATGGGGATTCGAAACGCCAACCTTCTGATCGGCAAGTCCTAGGCTCTGTGGTTTAACCCACAGCGCCACCCACGTCCCTATATTATCAAATACAAGCAATCAAATGCATTTCCCCCTAACCCCCTCCCCAAAAAAGCCCCTTCCTCTTGTTTGTGAGTTCAGCAGAGTGCCTCCCTTTGCAGCTTAAAAGGGAAGGTTGGATAGGCTAGTTTTAGCCTTTTAGTTGAAGCAATCCACGGTTCTTTAAGTCAGGCTGGATTTTCCTAGCATGTCCTCCTTTTCTCCCCCTTAAAATAACAATCACAGTGTTGTAAAAGGTAAAAATAAACATTTATTCATTCAGAATGCTTGTAACAGATACAGCAGCTTTGTTCAGGCAGGCTTAAAATGGCAATTCAGTTACAAATACATACTTAAGTCTAGCTTAAAATGGTGCCTCCAGTTTGGAGCTCAGACATGCAGATGTTGTCATATTGTTGGCAGAGCAGAAAGAGTTGGAAAGAAGGCGAGGGTGTGTTCAGGCAGGTAGAATAATATATACTGTATAGCCTTTCCTGTCAAGGCACAGTGGGAGTGTATCTCTCAGAGTTCTCTCTAGCAGGAAAACTCTGTAAGCTTCAGCTCCTATCATGTGCCTATCTAGCAAAACATGAATTGTTGGTTTGTCTGCATTTTTAATAACCCTACACTTCCTGCTTGGGAATGGGCTCTGCCTGCTTCGGGCTGCAACTCTGCTGGCTGGGCCTGCCATTTACCAGGGCAGTGGGGGGCGGCAGAGCAGGTGGTGGGGTCAGGGTTATGTGGGTGCACATTCTGTGCATTCATTCTGCTGGGCACCCATCCAACTCCCACCTTGCCATCTCACTGCCCCACCTCTGCCCTGCTCTGGTATGCAGGAGTGACCCCGCTGTCTGGAGAGCAGTGGGGCAGCCCCACCCCACTGTGCTGGCCACTCCTGGCTACTGCCACAGTTGGGGGCAGTAACCCTTCTGAATACCACTTGCTGGAACCCATAGGAGGAGAGAGGGCTCTTGCGCTTGGACCCTCCTTGCTTGAGGGTTTCCTATGGGCATCTGGTTGGCCACTGTGAGAACAGGATGCTGGACTTAGCTCAGTTGGTAGAGCATAAGATGCTTAATCTCAGGGTTGCGGGTTCAAGCCCCATGTTGGGTGAAGGATTCTTGCATTGCAGGAAGTTGATGATCCTCACAGTCCTTTTCCAACTCCACAGTTCTATGATTTTATGGCTAGATTGTCCATTGGCCTGATCTAGCAGGGATCTTCTTCTGTTCTGATGATGAAGCCATTTCAGGCCCAGACCCACCAACTCAAAATTTACGCAGAAAGGCTACGTAATTTAACCAAAGGCGGTATTTACCTCGTGTCAGTCGATTCTGTCATTCCTCCCTATCTGAAGCTGCAGAAGGTCATTAAAGCCTCCGTTTGAAGATGAGCCTCAGGCCACGAGGGACCAAATTGCCTGTTACTGCACCCGTTCCCCCCTGCCCCCGCCTGCCAAAGGCGGACATGATAGCTGAAGGCACACCGGCAGTGTATCAGTGAATTATTGATTGGTGTTAACACTGCAGCTCTGACAACACCATTATCGTCTTTGACTTCATGTTTAAATCATCCCCCCACCCCCCGAAGCATCTGCAATGCCACAGTCTTTAATATGTGCCCAGGTGCTTCCTTCCGCTTCTTTGCTTACCTCCCCCTGCCCAGTCCTGGACCCTTGTTTGAGGGGAATGCAAGCAAACAAAATAAGTGAAAGTTGAAGTGAGGCAAGGAAAATGACATAGGAGGAGCTAGTGTGGTGTAGTGGTTAAGAGCGGTAGACTCATAATCTGGTGAACCTGGTTCGCGTCTCCGCAACTCCACATGCAGCTGCTGGGTGACCTTGGGTTAGTCACACTTCTCTGAAGTCTCTCAGCCCCACTCACCTCACAGAGTGTTTGTTGTGGGGGAGGAAGGGAAAGGAGAATGTTAGCTGCCTTGAGACTCCTTCTGGTAGTGATAAAGCGGGATATCAAATCCAAACTCTTCTTCTTCCTCTCCTCCTCCTCCTCCTCCTCCTCCTTCTTCAACAGGCAGCAGGTACAGGTGAAAAGGTCTCAACAATCTTCTTCCTGCAAGGCTGGTGGGGACATGGGCTCATGGAATTCCATGTTGGCCACGTTCAAAATAGGGCCACGTTGCAGATTTTGACTGAGGTGTTCCTTTTCAGAAAGCCACAGGCAATGGCTTCCTTGTCTCAAAACACAGGGAGGGCGGGTGTCCTCAGCAGGAGACAGGACCCAGTAAGAGCACTGCTGGCTCAGGCCAAAGGCCCATCTCATCCAGCACCCTGTTCTCACAGTGGCCAAACAGATGCCTGTGGGAAGCCTGCAAGCAGGACGTGAGCACAACAGCAGCGCTTGGCTCACCTGTGATTCCCAGCAACTAACCTTCAGAGCAGTGTTTCCCAACCTTGGGCCTCCAGCTGTTTTTGGACTACAACTCCCATCATCCCTAGCTAGCAAGACCAGTGGTCAGGGATGATGGGAATTGTAGTTCAAAAACAGCTGGAGGCCCAAGGTTGGGAAACACTGCTTCAGAGGTTACATTCTCTGACAGTGGAGGTACAGTAGGACACAGCCATTGTGACTCATAGCCATCAATAGTCTTGTCCACCATGAATCTATCTAACCCTCTTTTAAAACCACTGAAGTTGTTGGCCATCAGTGTGTCTTGTGTCAGTGAGTTCCACATTTTAATTCTGTGCAGTGTGGAGTAGCACCTCTTTTGGTCAGTTCTGAATCTCCCAACATTCAGCTTCACTGGATGGTTGCCTGTCTTGGGTAGAAGGGACCCTGAGCAAGAATGTTCAGCACTGCAACATTTTGTTGTAGGTTCCACTATCTCCCCCACATCCCACTGCAAAGTAACTCTGCATTGGGAGAGTCAGGATTGTGCTCCAAATCCCTCTGCCTGGCTGTTCTGCTTCTTGCTAGGCTTCAGGTATTGGTTTGGAAAAACAGCAGAGAGAGTGCAGGAACATAGCCAGGATCCCCCTTCCCACACCATAAATTGCTCTGAGCAGCTTTTATCTGAAAATTTAGGATTAAAAATTTAGGATAAAAATTTAGGATGAAAATTTAGGATTAAAAAAAAAGGAAATCTGAACAATAAGCAGCCGGATTAAATAAAATTTAAATGTACCTGCACATGACATAATGTTAACTTGTGATGTAATGTCAAAGACTCAGCTGTTCCAGGGCCAAGCCTATTGCCCATTTTTTGCAACCAGATGGCACCATTGCCTCAGTTTGCCTTGCTTCCCTGCATGGCCTGTTAATGAGCTGAGCGTTACCCACAAACTGTTCATTGACTACTCGAAACTTGCTCTTCTTCCCCTCCCTAGCAAATGACCCGCTGCAACTCTCCACCCAATTGCTACTTTCATCGGGGACACGCCTCTGCCTGAGCGGCTGTCTGCACTTGTTTAACAACAGCAACCAGTTTAGTGGCTGCATTTAACAGCGCACTGTGCTTGGCTTTCTCTGTTAAGCCATTTCATTTCCTAGGGCTGTAGAGGAAATAACCCTGGATTTAAGACTGGCTATTTTACTGCATTTGCACATCGGGAAGTTATAAGAGCATTTCCCAGTGGGAGTTTGCCATCTTTTTCTTGCCTTATATCAGAATCTTTTGGACTGATGGTACACAGTAGCACACACAGGCTGTGTCGGAGGCAGCACATACTGTCAGCCACACAGCTTGTCTTTCAGTTTGCCAACTGACCTGGGGGAAAAAAATGCCCTGGCTTGCTCCTGTGCATGTACAGTGGTACCTCGGGTTACAGACGCTTCAGGTTACAGATGCTTCAGGTTACAGACTCAACTAACCCAGAAATAGTACCTCGGGTTAAGAACTTTGCTTCAGGATGAGAACAGAAATCGTGCGGCGGCAGCGGGAGGCCCCATTAGCTAAAGTGGTACCTCAAGTTAAGAACAGTTTCAGGTTAAGAACGGACCTCCAGAACGAATTAAGTTCTTAACCTGAGGTACCACTGTACTTGCAGCTTGATCTGCAAAAATCAAGTGATGCTTTCTAAAGCATGCAGACAAAGGCCAATATTTGCTCTGAGTTGCTGCTACCGGCACAGCTATAGTAGATACCTGAAAAGTTGGCAACATTAGCCATCTCGACACAAGGTGTGTTGTCTGTGGCAGGGTCACAGGGCATTTCCAGGCTGTTGTTGTTTTCAGGTGGGAGTCTAACACATGCCTGCAAATTACTTGGCAGTCTTGTGCAACAAACCCATCATCCCACAACCCCATGGCTTCTCCCCCCCCCTTTTCAATAAGAAGAGTGTTTGAGAAATGCCCTGGAATGTATGAGATATCACTTGCTTGGCTGTATGTCATATAACCTCTGTGGAAACGAACAAGGACCAATGTTTGACAAATATAAATCATTGTGTAACCTCCCTGCAAACCTTATACAAACCAATCAGGATGGATATTCAGTAAACAGATAGTCTAATGAAGCTATAGTGATTTTTTTAAAAAAATAGCTTTTTTGAAGCACCCCCCAACCCACCTCCCCCGGAGCATGTTGTTTTCTGCCACCTTTCCCACCTCCACCTTGTTTCCCGTAGCGATTACCAGCTTGGAGACAAGGCGGCAAGACTGGGGGAGGGGGGGTCATTCCTTTCCGATAACTATTTATTCACATTACCAGACACAAAAGCCCCTTTGAAGGTAGAAAAAAGGAGCACAGAATGGATGACACAAAGCGCCTTTTCTTCTTCTCCTGCTGCGGACTCATCTTGCCCTGGGCTTTCCATCGCTGCTCATCTTCCTCCCTCCCCTCCCTGCTGCATGGCGGTCTGTGCTTTTGTTTGACAAATCCTGTTATCCGAGCCCAGAGCCCAAAGCAAGGGCAGCTGATCGCCTGACCCCTCTGCATTCTCCAGCACGGAATGAAGACAGGCAATCACAACACGCCGGACAATGGGAAGGGCGGCCCAGCTTGCAGGGTGGCACCTCTTTTCCTCTCTCCCCTAGAAACCAAACATTGCAAGCTCTCTAAAGAAAGCAGTTTGGCACCTGGGGGGCAGAGCCAACAGTCTGGGGTGGGGCTGTGGGAGGAGTTTAGAAGTTTGGGAGTGGAGCTCAGCACAAAAGCTGAGCCACGCTCCCCAAAAGCAGAAGCAAACAGAAGCCCAACTGGTGCAGCAGACTGTGCCAACTCACCAATCCAGCTAATATTGTCTACACGGACCGGCAGTAACCCTCCCGGGTTTCAGACATGGAATCTCTCCCAATCCTACTCGAAGATGCCAAGGATTGAACCTGAGACCTTCTGCATGCAAGGTAGATGCTCAAACCACTGAGCCACGGTCGTTCCTCAAATGTATTAGTCCTGTTAGGTTGGATCAGAATGCATTTTGAGCAATAAGCTGGTCATTTCAGGTCAGTGATTCTGCCTTGGAGCTAGTCTGTCTGTCTGTCTGTCTGTCTGTCTATTTATCTATCCATTTGCCATGCATGGGGGCTCTCCCTCCCTTCCTCCCTCCCTCCGTCCTCACAACATTGCTGTGAGGCAGGTTAGCCTGAGAGTTGATGACCTGGCAAAGTGAGGGTTTGGACTCTGGTGGTCTCCTAGTTCCCAGCTCAAATCTCTAACCACTGCACCATGCTAGCTCTCCTCTAGAAATTCTGGAAAAGGTCCCCTGTAGGAAAGCAGTTTGCTCTCAAGAGGATGAGATTTAGACACCTGGCCTCAATACATTCTTCCCTTCCTGGTGAGTTTGACTCATGCACCGAAATTACAGGTGGGCATGATCCCAAGGCTCATGTGCCTCTTCCTCTTGTCCTGTGTGGCTCATAATTGCTGTTAAAATTGCCCCTGATGCTGCTGATGTGCTGATAATGCCATTGCTGCAGTCAATTTGAAGCACTATCTGCATAGGCAACAAGGCCACAGAATCCTTCAACCACTGTTTGCAGGGGAGGAGGGACTTCCATGAGAAATGGACAGGTGACACTCGGTTCTCAGGTATTTGAAAACATGAAACTAATAATTCCCCTTTTTGGATCAGATCCGTGTCTATGTGGCCCTGCAATCTATCAATTTATTTTCATCTCTCTCTCTCTCTCTCTCTCTCTCTCTCTCTCTCTCTCTGTGTGTGTGCGTGTGTGCGTGTGTGTTTAGAAGATCTCAAGCAGAACATAAAAAGGTGGACTTACCTTGTTATTCCTACCATCCCACCCCAGACAACTGGTAATCAAAGATATACTGGCTCTGTACATGGAGGTTTTCTAAGCGATCCCCTGCAGCCCAGAAGCAGCAATAAGCCGGGATAAACCACCATGCATTGATTTCCTCCCCATAAATATGTGCTTGTGCAAGCTGTGGCTTGAATAGTTTTAATTTAAACTAAGGGTGGCTCACTGTGATCGTGTTTCAGAGCTGCCGATCTGTACGGTTGCCATCTGGATAGGCAATTTTAAATTTGCATACCTTTAATTGAACATACACAAAGGCAAACAACCCCTCCCCTCCCCACAAAACACCCTCAAGAACTTCAAAGTTGTGGCAATATTAGTTTTCATCCACACACACCTAAACAGAAGGAACACACACACCAATACCCTACAGGTGCCAGGAAAGCATATATAGCCTCTTACGATGCGTGGGAAGAGTGACAAATGCGAAGGACATCTTTATTACTATTTATCGTGTTTCACTATAGGGCACATGGTTTCCCACCTCTTCATTTAATTCTCACAACAGCCCTGTGAGGTAGCGCTGTCTTAGGGACAGTGACTGGCCCAATGTCAAACCCAGTAAGCTTAATGGCAGAGTGGGGATTTGAACCCTGGTTTCCCAGGTCCTAGTCTGACACTCTAACCACTACACCCCGCCGGCTGTCTTTTGCACAGTGGGCTTGATTCTATAGGTACATCTCCCATTATCTTCCACTCAAGAAAGCAAGAGGCATGATCCAAGTTCAAGGTCACACTCCAGCTATGCAAGAACATTAGATGGGGATGCAAAGCAAGGCTGGGTGAGGGGCATGGCCTGGGGAGAGTCTTGAGGGCTGAATGGGGGACACAGTCACTGGCGGAGGAAGGGGGTGCGGTGGGTGTGGTCCAACCAGGGTGTCATCCCTGGGGGGGGGTAACTTTGCCATGCCGCCCCCCGGGACGCTCACCTCACCCCCATGGGCGGCTAGCCCTGCCCCCAGATGCCAGAATAGCTAGCTCCACCTCTGGGCACAGTTGCTCTCCAAGCCTGAGGTTCCCCCTTCCTTGCTATGGAATGAATGCTTCCTCCCGGAAAATGACCAGAGCAACGCTGGCAGGAGGCGGAGAAATATTGTCACCAACCCCTGTCGAAATGGCCCCTATTTCATTTTTTATCAGTCCTGCCATCCAATATTCCCTGGACGCTTTGTCTTTGCTTTGCATTTTATCAATATTGCCGGCTGATCCTGCCATCCCCTCTCCATGGGTTTATTAATATTGCCTTCTGATCTGTGGGTAGGAGCTGTGTTTTATATTCTGGCACCATCTACAGTCTTTGCCAAGCTCGGACGCCATCTTTAATTAGATTTTTCTCTGTGACTCTGACAAACATAAACTGAACACTCTCTCCCTGCCCCCGCCCCACTCCCAATCTCTCCAGGCAAACGCTCCCTTGCTGACTTTAGTATTCCAGTGCCATCACTAAACAGAGTTGGACCTAATTCCTCTGGTTCAAGTTGCTCCGTGGATGAATCATACAACACAGTTCAGGATTTTTGCGGGGGAGCGTGGGGGCATGGAAATGATGGGGGAATGGTCACATCTTAAAACAAAGGATCTAAATACCAGAGTATTTTGGCAAAGGAGCACAGCTCAGTGGTAGAGCACCTGCCTTGCATTCAGAGGGCTGCAGGTTCAATCCCAAGAGCATCTCCACGTAGGGCTGGGAATGTCCCCACCCCTGAAACTCTGGCGAGCCAGTGCTTGTTGGTGTAGACAAGGGATGGGCGGGGGGAGCCTTTTCTGTCCCAAGTGACAGCTCAGCCCTGGGGGGCCAAATTTGATAGGTGGGCAGTAACATCAGGTGACACTGAGCTTTGAAGCCCTAACTATTGGAACTTTAAAGGTAAAGATAAAGGTACCCCTGCCAGTAAGGGCCAGTCTTGACAGACTCTAGGGTTGTGCGCTCATCTCACTCTATAGGCCGGGAGCCAGCACTGTCCGCAGACACTTCTGGGTCACGTGGCCAGCGTGACAAGCTGCATCTGGCGAGCCAGCGCAGCACACGGAACACCGTTTACCTTCCCGCTGGTAAGTGGTCCCTATTTATCTACTTGCACCCGGGGGTGCTTTCAAACTGCTAGGTTGGCAGGCGCTGGGACCAAACGACGGGAGCGCACCCCGCCGCGGGGATTCGAACCGCCGACCATGCGATTGGCAAGTCCTAGGCGCTGAGGTTTTACCCACAGCGCCAACCGCATCCCTATTGGAACTTTAAGACACAGCAAAAGGGCTGTTTGAAAGCCCTTTTGCACACAGCCCAGCACTGCTCTCTGAACCTCCAAAACCCTGAGTGGTGCAAGGCTGTTTACAAAAGGACTTTCAAAAAACCCCACACCACCTGGCAGGGGAACAGGTGCTACAGCCAAAGTGAGGAGCCTTGGATCCTTCACTCACCAGCTGATGAATGGAGGAAACAATCTTGCTGGCTGCAGGGGTCCGCTTCTCCCGCACATTCCATGCAGGAAGTGTGCTGGTGAAGCAGCCCTAAGAAGGATTGAACCCTGTCTCCCTGCTCATCACCCAGTGGTGTCAGCAGATAGACATGGTTTGGGGGAAAAGGCCCAGTGGGCCACCTTAGACTTCCTGGTGGGCCAAAGTTGGCCCACAGGCTGGAGATGCACCACCAATGGTGCAGACAATACTGATCTAGATGGACCAGAGAGCCTGACTAAAGCAGCTTTTAAAGTTTCTATGACAGGATTGACTGTGGGCACAGATGTGATTAATGCAGAATGTGAACTTGTCCTCTTTGGGTCAACAATGCAGCTGGCCAATTAGAAAGAAATCTTCTGGCTCAGCCTTGCCCACCCTAGTGCCCTCCAGACATTGCTGGAGGCAGCTGCCATCATCCTGACCACTGACCATGCTGCCTGTGGCTGATGGAGCAGGGCTGATGAAGGGTGTGGGCTGGGAAGTGCCCCAAGAGCAAGATAGAGCGACTTGGAGGGCCACATTTGGCCCCTGTGTCTGAGGTGCCCACTGTGATGGAAAAGTTTGTTTTCTGAGCAGGTTGAGTCATTCCCCTCCCCCCCTCCCCCAGCAAACAGTTAACTAGCAATAGCTCCTGATCAGCCATAATTCCAAGGGAGGCAGTTGGAGTGGAGTGAGGAGTGTGTGAGAGGGATTCAGTCTGTGAGTTTGATTTGATCAGGAGAGTTTGTTCTGACAGGTGGTAGAGCTGAGGAGAGCCGAGAACTCTCAGTATATGCTCTAAGGTTCTGAATCGCAGAAACCTGTTAAAATAGAAAAGACGCAGTCCCACATGGTGTTTATAGGAAAAAAGGGTCCTCAGAGGGAATACTCTGACAGGAACAGGCAGTAGTGATTCCGAGGCCAAGGAGAATTTGGGGGTCTGTAAGGGAAACAGTCCAGGTAAAACCCTAAGTTCCTGAACTGTGTGTGGAGAACTCTGATCTATGAAAGTTGTATAAAAGAAAGTAACTTCAAGCCTGAACACCATACAGCCTATAGCTTGAGACAGTATACATTTTAATAAAAAGCAACAGCACTGTGCCGTGAATAACCTCATGGTTTGTTACATTTCTGTGGAAGAAAGAAGAACCAAAACTCCTTGTTTACATCTGTTGTAATAAAGTTTGTTTGCAACCTGTTTCCCCAAAAGAAAAACCCACTGTCGCTCATGATTCATTCTCCATTGGGGGAAATCACCTGAGGGAAGGGAAATTGAGGGCTGGCACAGCGGTGCCAGGGAGAGAGAGAGCCATTGAATCATTGCACCCACTCTAGCTTTAAATGGAAGATGCCATATGATGGGGTCAGTAATTGCCTGTCAGGGACCAGGCAGAGGAGGAATGGTGGAGACCGCCTCTCCATCCTGACCCTCCCAGTGAGGAGGAGGAGGAAGACAGTATAGATTTGCAACAGTGGTTTGCGGGAGGTCACAGCTCAGAGGCAGATGAGGGGGAAAGTTGGGAAATAATGGGAGAGGAGGAGCAGTAACTGTCTGACATGTTGTCATTAGAAAGCATTCCAGACCCTCCATTTCCCAGAACTTGGTGAGCCTTAAAAGTAGGAGAGCAAAGAGCTCAAAGACAGAGGGCACATAGCAGCACCCGTAGAAGTGTGGAATGAAGAGGTGGGAGAGATGGGTGTGTGTGTAGAGATTCACTCGGGACAATGCCATTATCCAAGAGGCTGGGTTCTGTATCCTCTCTCTGCAAAGATTGAAATAAAAAAGGACTGTAAGAAACTTTTCCTTGTCTTTAGACTTTCCTGGGCAACCAGCCGGGAGCCGCTGACAGCATCCTGGCACTGCCCCAATGGTGGTGGCGGCACAGTATCTGCCTCCACCCTGGCTAAGGCCCTGAATATGGAAGCAAAGGTTCTGCAATGGTGCAGGTTCATAGGTGACCAGTTCAGCCCTGCCTTGTAAATGTAAGGGCCTAAGGCTCCAAGACAGGAGGAAAAGCTATACCACCCATGATCTTGAGATTAAGAGTCTCATGCACTATCGACTGAGCTATCCCAGACCTCGCTCAAGGCAGGGCACTTCCAGGAGGACAAGGGCTCATGTCAGTCAAGATCATGCAGTAACTAAGGTATATTTCCCCACCACCTGTAAAACACCTTTAGGCACAAACAAAGTGCCATGCTGTCAACCACGGAGCAATAAAAGCCATTCCCAATGAATCTTAAGAAATGTATTTAAAGATTGGTAAATGCATTCATCCAAAATGATCCAGCTTTTCCTAATTTGGTTAAGAAGTACTTGGGTTCGTTTTTTCCTCCTCCCTCCCAAACCATTTTCCTTTGATCTTGTGTCTTTTAGATTGGAAGCCGGAGGACAGTGGTCATGTTATTACTGATCTTTGCAAGCTGCTCTGGGAAGCTCCTTTGGCTGAAGAGGAGAAGACTTTAACTAATTAAATCTTTGGGGGCTTCAACAGAAACTGTGCTCAGCTTGGCTTGGCTCAAACTTTGAGGGTAACTGCACTGGCAGTTGGAAGACCTGCTGGCTCTGTCAGAAGGGAGCATGAAGATGAGGGTTTGTAGATTTTTCACATCAAATAGAAGGAAAATGTTGGGTTCCCCCTCAAGTTTGCCACTTCCTTCAAGCATGAAGGAAGGGAATTATTCTTCTCATATCCCTCAAATCTTTTGCCAGAGTCTGAAATTAAAATTTCATGTATTGATTTATTTAAGATGCTTGCATACTGCTTTTCTTAAGCTCAGAGTGGTTTACACGAGAATAGAACAATATTTAAAATCACATAAAAGATAAAAAAAAGCTCAATAATGATTCGGATTTTACAAACTCTGTTAAGAAACACCCACCCTGCTAGAATCCCAATATGGGCTGTGTGGAAACATCCAGCTGGTTGTAGGAAAAAAAAAAGGGGGGGCATGATTGTCTGGCTGGAGCATTTTACACTGCAACATTTTGTTACAGGCTCCAATTCTTCATGTGTTGTTCATATGCTCATTCATGGGAAGCGGCTGGCCTCAATGAGATGCTGGCTGATGGCACAACCTGGACAAAATGTGTCCAAACTCTAATCTTGTGTGTGGGTGTTTCACATGAAGAAGGGGTGCCCATAATCAAACATTAGTCGGGCTGGTTGATTTCAGGATGCACACCCAATGCCTATACCCAAACCTGCTGACATCTGTGATCGATAAAGTTGTGGCCTGTTTCAATCCCAGTACTGCTGTCCTGTGTTTTATCACAACTAATATGATGTTCAGCCCTCACCTTGCCTGCAGCTTCACCAGGTCTGGACCTGCAAGTCCAGAATTAATTTGAGAAAATTCACTAAATTAAACTGGAATTCAAAAGGAGTGGAAGGCAGGACAGGGGTCTTCTGCAGATGCCCTTTGTTTATTGGGCACTTGTGAAGATCTGTGCTCATGAAGGTATTGGGGCGGTTATGCCTCATCCCACTTCCGATGCTGCTTACATCTACAAAAAGTGTTAGGATGGACATGCAGTTCTATTTTCCATCTGTGTCCTGTAACAGCCTGCTGAAATCTTTGTAGCTTTTTAATGCCACAAACGTACCAATTTATTTTTTTGTAATAGAACAAAGCGAGACTCCCTCCGGATCACAATCTTGTGGAAATGTTGGGGAAGCGTCACACTGCAACCAAAAATGGGGAATGATTATGTGGATGGTCCTTTTCAATCTGCTCCTAGCATGCTATTAACGGGTCAATGACATGTAGGACAACACACAAACAAACAAACAAACAAACAAACAAACAAACAAACAAACCCATCAGTCTGGAGGGCCTCACAGCAAACCAAAGACATAAGAACTGAAAAAGATCCAGGCCTGCAACAGATCCAGCCAATGCCATCTTGCTGTAAAATGCAGGTATGTGACGAAAGACTTAACAGGTGGAGGAGCTTAGATCACGACCCAGCTAGGGCTGAGAACATTTTAATCCACTCCTATGTCACACGCACAGGCATTTATTTCAGCAAGAGAATAAAATGCGTCTCTTATTTGCTTTAATTCACTTAGCTTGATTGCCTAATGAAGCCCAAATTCATTTTATTGGTTCATCTCAACTTTGGTTTATTTCATTAAACTTTGTTTTAAAGAACCTCTCATTTGCTTTATCAGAGCAAAAGAAACAAACCTAATCAAGAAGATTTCAGCTTGGTTAAACAAGCGGCTCAACAAATTATAAGGTTTTACTTCAGTACAGGGGGGGGGAATGATTTATCCTGCCACCATTCCACAAAATGTGGGAGAAGCACCAGAACAACTTTTGGAGTGTGTGAATTCACCAGGCACAAAGCAAAGAAGAATATGAGAAAGGGCCCATCTGCTGAATGGGCACAAAGGCACCACTTTCTCCCAATAGCCAACCAGATTCCCTGATGGAAAGCTCACAAGCAGGATGTGACTGCCATAGCACTCTCCCCAGTTGTGAATCCTGACAACTGGTATTTCAGAGGCATAAAACAGTGGAGGCAGAACACAGCCACCATGCTAAACAACCATTGATGATCTTATCCTTCATTACAGATGTAAGGAGGTCATTCTGACTTGCATTTGTCACAACTAACACTGTTTGCATTCCACTGCAGGTCACTTTCTGCCAAACATCACGTTATTTGTCTCGCTGCCTGCTATTAAATGTAAATTGCATATGCTATGTAAGTATATACATAACTTATGTAGCTTGCATTTGTCACAATTTAAAGGAAACATCACAGCAATGTAAAAAAAATATGTTTGTGGACTTAAAAAAACAGCAACCCAGCAACAAATACCGATTGCATTCTTTACAGTTCTGGGAAGTGGGCATGTGAGAAAGACCTCTGTTGCTGATCTTGAGAGTGCAAGCTGGTTAATAAGGGTGAAAGTGATAGTCCAGTCATCTCAGGCCCAAACCACTTAAGACTTTTGAAGTATAAATTCTGCACTTTAAATCGGAGCCAGCTACTGGTTCCCCCCCATTCCTCTGCAGTGCAAAAACTCAGCACAAATTCCAAATCCCAGACATTGGCTTCCAGCCATGTCTCAGCATCATGTAGATCAGTGTTCCTCAAATCAGGGTCCCCATATGTTGTTGGACAATGAATCCCATCATCACTGATGGCTGGCTAAGCTGGCTGTGGATGATGGGAGTTGTAGTCCAACAACTTCTGGGAACTCAAGGCTGAGGAACACGGCTAAATAATTTTTAAGAAGTATTTTTGTTCTTGGTAATGTCTCATCAGGCAATATTCTCCTGTAGGATGACAATGATGGATATATTTGTATATATATCAAAGTTGTGAATATCCACGTACCCAACCGAGCCACAAAAGTATTTCTTCATAGCACTCTCAGGAAGTAAACCCCTCCCCACAGACTTACTCCTTTGCCACCTCTCTGAACCTGAGCAAAACCCGGCCAACTCTTTAAGCAAGGCTTTAGTCTGACTTTAAATTGACTTTTCTTTCCTAAGCCCTGCGAGGGTTTTCTGAGGCTCACAGTCTTCGTTGGGGCTTTTAGGAGTCTTTAGTGGCTTAAGACAAAACTACGTTGGCCCTAATCTCTCGCAAAATGCACAAGGCATTTCCTACCCACCCCATTTTGTTCCCTCAAGCTTTTAGCCTAAGGTTTTCCTTTCCAGTTGTGTTTGTGTCAGAAATATATATATATATGCCTCAAGAAATCCACCCTTTTAAAATACCAAAATCCTTGGCTAAGAAGCCTGTGTGTGGCAAGATGGGAAAAGGCTTATCGTATTATGGAATCCAAGTGCCCTTTTGCAGCAAAGGCGACAAAGAATCGATGGGCTGGTTTATACAGTTAGCAAAGTCAGCAGTGAAACTTTCTCCAGGATTCTACCACTCCAGGCTTCGGTGGGGGTGGGGCTCTTCCTTCCTCAAAGTGGCAGAGAGATGAGACACGTAACCTGACAGAAATACATGTGCTCTTTTTCTAAGCCCATATACACCACCACCACCACTGAGTCTGCAACAAAGTCCGAGGAAGAACTTTATCACTTAATTATACTGATCCCATGAACTGGCTTACATCCTGGTTCTATGTTTATTTACTTACCCACCAGGGTTGGTTCTGCTGTTGGGGAGGGTGAGGCAGCTGCCTTAGGTGGCACATGCTGGGGATTGGGGAGGTAGAGGAGAGGTGTTGGAGGATGGGGCTGCAGAGGTCATGTGGCTTGTGACTGCCACATAGCCTGCCTTGCACCACCCAAGCTATCCAACATCCTTCTGGTGCTGTAATTTTTAAGAAGGATTCTAACTGCCAGCCCAATTGGTTTCTGCCTGTGGGACTGAAGAGGTACCATTTTGCCTTTTGTTTTACAAAGCCAAATGCCTCGTGCTGACCCAGAGGAAGGCTTCTTTGCAGATATTAATATCGCACAGCTTAAAATAATTGGATGCATAAAAACTGATTCCTCTTGAAAATAAAAATTGTCCAGACCCGTATTTTTATTGAAAGCTTTACTAACCAGAACTTCTTCAAAACAGGTACAAAACAATCAACAATGCATCCAGAAAGTTGTACAAAGCAAATGCACATTCAAGCATAAGTTCTTCTTCTTCTTAAATACATAACATAATTATGATCAGAGCAAAAATCAAAGCTCTGTCTCTCCCAAAGCCAGCATTCCTGGTGAAGGCTATTTGTTCCTGGAGAGGCATCATGATTACATCCTTCTCTCGCTGTGCTTGGGAACAAAAGACAAAGGCAACTCCCTTTCAAAATGGAGATTTGCAGTTGAATACCTTAATCACGTGATCTAAGCTTAAACACTCATGTGAAAGCTAGCAGAGAACTTCAATAATTCAGTATAGCCTGATGGAAGTTTCCTAAGTTCAACCCTCAGCAATATATATATATATATATATATATATATGCTTTCGTAGATTTTCACGGGTACAGGAATGCAGGTTTTGGTGTCCTCGGGTGTCTTCCCGTGTAAAAGTTGGGGTGTCTAGGCGACGTTTCGACGAGGTCTCACTCGTCATCTTCAGGCTGGTGCTTTCGGCTTCTTGTTACTGGAACAGAGCAGGATCTCAGTGTTTGAGTTCCTATAAATACTGTTGAGGGGGTGTGGTGTATAGCCTCCAATGTTCTGGGCAGAGAGGAAGTTCCCAGGCTAGTGTGTCTATTCTTCTTTTGTTCCTTAATTACTTGAGGGATATCTTGAGTGATTTCTTGAGTGATATTCTGAGTACCACTTAGGTGGGTCATTAGGTATGGATTAGTTGCTCAAGCCTTCGTGTCTTGACCTCTTGAACTTTGTGAAAAGTTTTTCTGAGAAGATGGCTGTACTGCACTTAGTTGTGCTCTGGCTTGGCTTCGGGTATAGGGGCGAGCTGTGGTTTTGTGTCCTGTGCCAGTCAGATCTGTGTAGGGATTGCAGGGGGGTGCAGCATCCGGAGGTGCCACCATGGTTTGGCTACTGGATGGTGTCTGTAATTTATCTGTGGAGAGGGTCTGGGTTTGGGTCTGGTGTGGTTGATTGGTGATGGCGTTCTGTGTGCCTCTGGATCTGGTGTCGGTTTTTGTGGGGAGGGCTAATTTCCAGATGTCTGGCAGGCGGGACGTGTCGTCACGCTTGTTCATGTTGTGAGGGTGTTTCTCTATCTCGATGGCTTCCATGATTATTCTCTTGTGGTGATGTTCCATGTTAAAGAGCAATTTGGAATCTGCAAAATTAATTTCGTGTCCTGTTTCTTTCATGTGTTGGAAAAGAGAGGAAGTTTTTTCTTCTTTTTTGACGGCATTCTTGTGTTCTGCGATACGTGCATTTATTCGTCTGTTTGTTTGTCCAATGTACGTGGCTGGGCAGGCTTTGCAGGGTATTTCATAGACCCCTTGGTTTTCCAACTGGATTTTATCTTTGGGGTTTCTGAGGATATTGGCTATTTTTTGGTTGGTGCAAAAGGCTGTTTTGATATTGTGTTTATGGAGGATTTTGCTAATTTTATCTGTAGTGCCCTTGATATAAGGAAGGAGGGCCATGCCATTGTTTTCTTCTGTGTCTTGGTTTTTTGGGGGTGTTTCTTTTTGGATTAGCTTCGTAACCCTGTTTTGCTGGTATCCATTGGCGATTAACACATTTGAGAGATTCTGTAACTCAGTTGTCAAGTGGTCTTTGTCAGTCAGGCGTTTGGTTCTGGAGATGAGAGTCTTGGCTACGGAGTTTATTTGTGCAGGGTGGTGGTGTGATTGTGCATGTAAGTAGCGGTTGGTGTGTGTTTTTTTCCGGTAGATAGTGTGTCCTAGGGAGCCATCAGGTTTTTTGTAGATTAGGACGTCAAGGAAGGGAAGTTGGTTGTTGGCTTCTATTTCCATAGTGAATTGTATTTTGGGGTGTAGGCTGTTGAGATGTGTGAGGAAGCTATCTAGTTTTTCCTTCCCGTGTGGCCAAATTACAAAGGTGTCGTCAACATATCTGAGCCAAAGTTTGGGTTTGTGTTCTGACTTGTCTAAAGCATTGGTTTCAAAGTGTTCCATGTACAGATTTGCGATGACCGGTGAGAGGGGTGATCCCATAGGTGCTCCTTCTATCTGTTTGTATCTTTGTCCATTGTGGATGAAGTACGTGTTGGTTAGGCAGTGGTTGGTCAGGTCCAGGATGTATTCGGGGGGATTGTATTTGTTTTGAATGGCTGTCAAGGCTTCATTAATGGGCACTTGTGTGAAGAGAGATACAACATCGAAGCTCACAAGTAGGTCATCGGGATGTAGGTTTTGCTTCTTTATTGTTTCTATGAACTGGAAGGAGTTTGTAACGT